TAAGGAGTTTGTGGTGTTTTGCTGCTTTTTGATCTTAGATCATAAGAAGACTGAGAGAGTTTCTGTTTCTTACTCGGTGTTTCTGGTGTTTTGCTGCTTTTATGTTTTGCCATTTCTAGACAATGATGAAAACATAAAGATGTCAACGTTAAATCCCAGATAAAATTGAACATGCTAGAGAAAATTGGACATGTCAGAGAAAATTACACATAAGGGAGAAAACTAAGGTGGCCAGGGAAAATTATAAATGTCAGAGAAAATTAGACACTGAAAATTAAATATCATAGTATTAATTGTTTTTCTATGGAATACATCTAGCCACAGAAAATTTCCATTCCTAGAGAAATCAACAAAGCAACATAAACATACCAGAGAATTTTTCAATAATTGTTAAAATTACATATAGAAGTAAAATATAGCCAGAGTAAATTCAAAAAACAAACATATATCTAGCAAGCACAGAAAATGAATATGACAGAGAAAAGTAAACATGGCAAGCTAGAGAAAATTTCCATTCCACAATTAGCAAGATAAAATAAACAAAGCAACGTAAACATGCCATGGAAAATTATTCAACATCGAAACCAAGAATTGAACAAAATGAACGTACCAGAGAAAATTGAACATGACAGACAGACACATGGGAGAAAACTAATGTGGCTAGAGAAAATTATAAATTCTAGAGAAACTTGGATATTGACAAGAGAATACTAGGTGTTTTCGTGTGGAATACATGTGGCCACAGCTAATTTTCATTCCCAGAGAAAATAACCAAAGCAACATAAATATGGCAGAGAAATTTTCAAAAATTGCTACAAATTACATATAGATGTAAAATATAGCCAGAGAAAATTCAAAAAAGAAACATAAATTTAGCAGACACAGAAAATGAAAATGCCTGAGAAAATTACACATTCTAGAGAAAAATAGACATTCCAAAGAAATTTATATAGCTGAGAAATTTACAGACAAAATCACACAAACATGTTCAAGAATAAAATCAAAATACAAAGAAATAACTTTTTTCAAAATAAACATGTTAGAGAAAATTCAAAGAAGAAACATACATCAAGCAAATACCAAAGAAATTCAAATGCTAGAGAAATTTACAGATAAAATCACACAAACATGTTCAAGAATAAGTTCAAAACACAGAGAAATAACTTTTTTCAAATTCATGTAGTTTTTTATTACAAAATTGAAACCCTAATTAATGGAAGGTTAATATAAAATGGAATTAACTGTGTTTCCAGAGAAAAACTCCTTGGATTGTAGAAAAACTTGCCAGAGTTAGGATGAAATGCTAATTACGAACTGATATGCCCTGAGATGAAGATGCAATGTGACGAAGATGAACTGAGATGACGATGCACAGTGAAAACGGGGTCAGAGAAATTTGTGAGGAAAGAATAAGAAAGATTTTTGCAGAAGACAATGAAACTCTAATGTCGATGGTGAAGATGATATTGAAACCCTAATTCTGCTATTCTCTTGCTCGTGAAGATGGTTGTTTGGAATGGAACTCAGTCATCGGAATCCAGTTTAGTTTCTGTCTTGATTTGCGAAGGGTATTTTGGTCCATGAAATAATTAAAAATGCGCGCGATATAGTTGAGGGACCTGATGCATCACCCCTTTTTTTGGTGTCCTTTATCCTCTAAATTACTATTATTAGAAACCTTAAAAAAAATCCCCCTATTTAAAGATCATAACTATTTCTAATTCCAAAAAAAGGACCATGAAATAACATAAATAATTTGTAATTGAGTTCATTATAGCCTTGTTATAATTACAAATTAATATACTAATTTTGTTTTTTACTACCAATGGGTCCCACATGTGAGTAATTATTAAAATTTTGATAAATTATTATTATTATTATTATTATTATTATTATTATTATTATTATTATTGTAAGACAGACACTTTACATTTAATAGAAAGACACAAGAAAAAAAAATCAAAAAAGAAAAGGACAAAAAAGAAAGACACATGAAAAAGTTGCTAAAAGTATCAAAGTCAAATTCAGCATGCATTTGCAGTCTCAGCTGGTTTTGTTGTATATTTTAATAATTACTAGTTGACCCCATGCGCTACGTGCATGGGGTCGTGCTATTGTTAGTTGAGAATAAGATACTTTTAGAATATAATTCAAGTGTCTTGAGCTACTAAATTGATGTTACCAATATCTAGTGAGCAGCATCCTAAAAAATTGTCAATAACTCAATCAATTTTCCATAGTCATTATGTATTTGAATAATTTTAAGATGCAAAAGAGATGAATCGTAGCTAGCATAACCAGTTATAGCAATGCATGCTACATCAGACGAGATAAAATCTAGGAATTCAACCTGAAGAATTACCAAAAGTTACAGAATTACCAAATATTTATATGAGAGGTCCAACATGACTTACTTAAAGAGTTGGTTCAACAGTGATTCTATCTCCACCAATGATGTTGAAAACCTACTCTAGTTAATCTTTCTAAATTGAATTACTTCACATCTCAATGAGCAAAAGGAAACAAATAGTTCATATTGCCATACTTCACTTTATCCATAGGTATTCTCTCTTCATTGCTTTGCATCTTCAATTACTACCGGCGAAGAAATAATTCAAAATCCCTTCATCAAACTGGAAAGTAGCATCCCATAAGGTTCCAAAATTGTGTACATAATGAATTGTGGCATGGCAATTGCAATTACATGGCTATTCCTCTGGAAGACAATTCAAAAGCTATGAAAATTAGAAGTTAGCTATGAATGATTGATACACTGGCTACATAATATCAAATTTGGAAGTGACTGGGATCCCATAACTCAAAAAGACCACACGATAATGATTGAATGCTACTCAAGGAATTACTTTTTGCCTTTAAGAAGGCAGAGAAAAAGGGCTATTGTCAATTCATTCTATTGTAGTCTATCCACTTATTGCTATGTACATTCCTAAATGTAAAAGACAAAGAAAACTCCCACACTGTTATTTCAAGCTAAACAACCACCCATTCATTTTAAATAATTAAACCCACAATTTATATTAGCTTGAATTGTGACACTCACCAATTAATAAATTGGGCTAGGCTTCTCTTTGGTCTGAAATCGGATTGGAGCATGTTGTTGGGTCTGTGGGGGCCACCACAGGTCCTGTTTCGATGATCCGAACCATTCAATATGTAGAACTCGTCGAGTATTTTTATTCTTGTAAAAAATCATGTCAATTGGATATCAATGACTATTTAATCGGATCAGATTTCTGTCATTGGTAAATATAATTTTTAAAATAAATTATTGACAAAAATCTGATCCGATCAAGTAGCTATCGATATCCGATCAACATGATGTTTTATAGAGATAAAGTACTCGACAAGTTCTATATATTGAACGTTTTAGATTATCGAAACAGAAATTGTGATAGATCTCACAGATCCAACAATACCGCCCAATCCACAAAGTAGACTGAAGACCACCCTTGCCTAATAAATTCTTAATAGCAAAATAAATTCTTAATAGCAAGTAGCAGTTGAAATGAAGACAACCTATTTCAATATATCGTTTCTGACAAAGTGACCATTCGTCATTCTGCACTTTGTTTCCTTCTTTAAACTAAAAAATTGTTTATTATTATTAATCTTAGTATTTTTTTTAAAAAAAATTAACCTAATCTAAGTCCACTTAAAAAGTAAAAAGTAAAAATTAAAAAAAAAAATCAACTTTGTAAAAAGAAAATTCAGGATTTTTATTTTTATTTATTTTTATTACTTATCTTCATTGGATGGTGAGAGAAACACAATTAGAATTATAGAGAGGGAAACGAGAGAGAGCGATATACAAAGCTCCATGACTGCCATTGAGAAATGAAAAAAAAAATATATATATATATATATAGCAGCAAGGAGATCCTCACTCAAAAACTTTTGGATCACCACACCAATTAAAAGAGACGAGAATGGCTTCCCTTTAGTCCTTCGTGGCAAGGATACTGTTGAGTTTGTAAAGACTTATTATGAGTCTCGTTTTAATAATTCAAATCACTTAATGTGTAGAACTCATCGAGAACTATATGTCTATAAAAAATTACGGTACTCGGATATCGATAACTATATGATCAAATTAGTTTTGTATAAAAAAAATAGACAGTAAAAAATAAACGACTGACAAAAATATGATTTGATCGCATAGATATCGATATCCGATCAATGTTATTTTTTATAAATATGTAATAATCGACGAGTTCTATATATTAAACGATTTGAATTATTAAAACGAAACCCGTAATAGATCCTCGTGAGCCTAACAGTACCCTTGGACATGAGGGAAAAGCCTCAATTAAAAGAGATATGAGATGTAGCACTGGCACATGAATGCAATTATGCAAGTGACTCGTGTACCTCGTGGTAGGGGCATATCAGAGTAAAACGATGCCGTTGAGGACAAAAGAGATGACTAAGGTCTTGTTTCATAATTATATGTTTTAGTCAAAAAGTTAAAAAGTAAATATAAGTTGTCACATTACTCTTTCTCTCTTGAAATATGGAGAGTTGTGAAGGAGAGTGATGGTAATAAAGCGCCGAGTCCAGATGGTTTTAACTTGTCTTGCTTTCAAAAATGCTGGAGGGTGTTTAAAAAGAATATCTTGAAGTTCTTTGAGGAATTCTATGATAATGGGTATTTGGCTAAAGGCATCAACTGCTCTTTTATAACTCTGATTCCTAAGAAAGTGTGTCCAGATGGTATTTCTGATTATAGACCAATTGCCCTTATTGGTTCTTTATACAAGATTCTTTCTAAGGTCCTAGTTTCTAGGCTAAAAAAGGTGTTGCCCAAAATAGTTGGAGAATCTCAATAAGCTTTTATCGGTGGAAGGAACATATTGGATGGGGTGTTAATAGCAAATGAAGTTGTGGATTGGTGGAAGAAGAAAAAACAGAAGGGGGTGATTCTAAAATTAGACTTTGAAAAAGCCTATGACACTGTAGACTGGGAGTGCCTTTTTGCCATGATGTCAAACTTTGGTTTTCAGAATAAATGGATCAGGTGGACTAAGGAATGCTTACAATCTTCTAGAGTTTCAATTCTTGTTAATGGCTCACCCAATGCTGAATTTAGTCCTGAAAAAGGACTCAGACAAGGGGATCCAATGTCACATTTTCTCTTTAATATCGTAGCTGAAGGGTTGAATATGTTATTTCAAAGGGCTAAAGCATTGGGGTTGATTAAAGGAGCTGTTATGGGTCATAAGGAAACTACTGTCACGCACTTGTAGTTTGCAGACGATACAGTAGTGTTTTGTAAGGCTGAGGAGCAAGAAATTCTGAATGTGAAAAGAATTCTAAGATGCTTTGAAGTGTTGTCTGGATTGATGATAAATTTTTACAAAAGTCATGTCTATGGGGTTGGAGTACAGGAAGTGGTTCTGGCTGATTTTGTTGAGAAATTAAATTGTCAGAGTAAAAGGTTGCCATTCATGTATCTTGGTCTGCCACTTGGTGCCAGCCCGAAGAGGGGGAGCATATGGTTGCCTGTGATCAATAAGTTTAAATCTAAGCTTGCTTCTTGGAAGAGAAAGCTACTTTCTTATGGGGGTAGGTTAACTCTAATCAAATCTGTGCTATCATCATTACCAATTTACTACCTTTCCTTATTTAAAGTACTTGTTGGTGTGGCTAAGCAGATTGATAAAATTCAAGCCAGATTCTTGTGGGGGGGTTCGAAAGTTAAAAAGAAGCTTCATATGGTAAAGTGGGAGGAGGTTACAATGAAGAAAAGTTTGGGAGGGCTGGTTATTAAAAGGTTGGAGGATTTTAATGAGTGTCTTCTAGCTAAATGGCGGTGGAGATATGGTACTGAGGATACGACATTATGGAAAGATATTGTGATTAGTATGGCAGCTTTCATGGGAGATGGTGACCATTCTTGGCTAATGGTGCCCAGTGCTCAAAAATTTGGGGAGATATACTTAATCTAGAACATTGCAGCCCCAATCTGTGGAGCTTTTTTATGAATAATTCTGTAATTAAAGTGGGAAATGGGTTGCGGGTTAGTTTTTGGGAGGATCCATGGGCATCTGATAGGTTCTTAAAGGATGAATTTTCCAGAATTTATGACCTATCAGCAGATAAAAAGGTCACCATTAGACAGATGTTGGACAAGAGAAGTTTAGCAGCTGGGTGGTCCTTTAATTTTTGGAGATGTCTGAGGGCTTGGGAGGACGATGAAATGGAAAGATTCAAATCATATCTTTCTTCTCTTAAGCCCATCTTATCAGATAGAATGGATTCTCTGGTTTAGAGTGCTTCATCCACAGGTGTATTCATTGTTAACTCAGCTTATAGTAGGAATGATATAGGTCAAGGATTGGGGTTTACAAAGTGGATCTGGAATAATATTTCCCCACCAAAAGTGAAATTTTTTGGCTGACTTGTTTGGAAGGGTAGGATTAAAACAAGAGATTTTCTTCAAATGGTGGCTTGTCTCAGTCAGGATGCTAGCACAGAGTGTGTTTTTTGCAGATGTGGTGTTGAAACTGATTGTCATGTTTTATTACAGTGCCAGTTCGCTTGGAGGGTCTAGACAAATATCCTGAATTGGTGGGGTATGCAATGGGTGGTACCTACTAACGCTAAAGGTGTGATGGATTAGTGGAGAGGGATCAAATGGGATAAGTTGGAAAATAAAATCTGGAATGCAATTCCATTTGCTGTTTTTTAGTCTATTTGGAATATGCGTAATGACTGCATATTCAATGGAAAACATTATCTTTTGGAGGAAGTTTGTGAGTTAATTAAGATTAGAGTTGCCATGTGGATCAAAGCGAGTACTAGTAAGTTGCAATACTCTGTTCATGATGTGGTGGAGAATTTACAGCAGATTAGACAGTGTTTGAGGTGAAGTTAGTTTACTGGTGCTGATGTTGGTGTTGTGATGCTGTTGTTTGAGAGGTGAAGTCTGTTTTCTATTTTTTTTTTGCACTGATCTGTGCTATGAGGCTGCTGTTTGAGTGGTGACGATTGTTTACTTGTGGTTTAGCTCATATGACAGAGTGGTTTTGGGTCCTTACCAAATTAAAGGGCTGCGAAATTTAATGGGATCTACTGATATGTATTGTATCATGGGCTGCTGAGAGGCTGATATGCTCTGTTTTTGTTCTGTTACTGTTTATAGTGTTGTGATGCTATTGATGTTGTTAGCTTTGATGATGGTAGAGTTTTGTTGCTGTGCTGTTGATGCTGTTAGCTTAGTGGGGTTGATAATTAGGCTCTGTTGCTGATCTTGGAGGAGCAGGGGCTATGATATGAGGCTTGGGAGCTGGTGGTGAAGCTGCATGGTTTGTTGGCTACTGTTCAGTACAGAAGTGTAGATGTTGTGGTTGGCTGCTGTTCAATACAGAAGTGTAGAGATGGTGGTGAAGCTACAAGGTATGTTGGCTACTGATGTTGTTTTGTTAATGATGCTGGTTCTACTTCGTGAAAAGGAGTATATACTCTGTGGTGGTCGATTTGAGTTGTTGCTGATGTTTTTGATTTGAAGCCCATTTTTGCTGATTGGGTTTACTGCTTGTTTGTGGGGGAATGATTTTTTAGGCTGCTACAACTGTTATTATTGTCGCTATCCTGTTGTTTTGTTGTTTGCTAGTTTTGGGTTGTCTAGCGTGTATTAGGCTTGGTTAGATTTTACTTAGGTGAGGTTGTTTTGGGTGTTTGTGGTTGGTTCCTCACCAATTCTTGATGATGTGCTAGCATATGATTGGGCGATCCTATTGGTGCCAACCTAGTTGGGATTGATTTGGCTCACTATGATGCTCTTTGCACTCATCCTCTTTTTCCTTTATTGATGTATTAGTTTTTTGCTTCATCAATAAATTTCTTATTTTGCTGATAAAAAAAAAAAGAAGACATTACTCTCTCTCTCTCTCTCTCTGTGCATATCTTTTTATAAAAAGTCAAAAATTACTAAAATAACTTATTTCCAAACAAGGCCTAAATCTCCCAATTTACATGATACTCTTGGATGGGGGTGTGCATTAAACCGTCCAACCCGATCAAGACGACCAATCAGAAACAGTAGTGAGTCTTTTCCTCTTACTCTCAAATCAGTGTGTTTGTTTCAATCTATTTTGTTCAATCTCTTATATCTTGTCTCCCCTACTCCATTCATACATGTTTCAATACAAGATTAGAGAGGGTGGATTGTAGATTGAGTTCTGTATGTAGCATCGACCGAACCAACTGCTAAATCGAACGAGTTATTTCGGTTGATTTCAAATACCATTGCGGTCGGCAACAGTTTTATTTTTTGAAATTGATGCACTTGGTTTGGTTGATGGTTTGAGGGTGAATCCAAGCTGAACCGATCAGTACACACTTCTTGGACATGCAGGCAGCGTGTGGTAATGTTTACATTTTTGTTTATGTTTACAAAAATTTTATAAACTGATTTTTATTTATTTTTAGAAAAATATAAATTACAAACACGTTTGGTTTGAACAAACGTAGCGGGTCGAGGCCGGGGACTATACTCCTCGTCCCCGATCCCCGACAGTGAGAAATGCCCCGTCCCCGCCCCCGATCCCCGACGAGGAGCCTATCGTCCCCCCTCTCCCGGCTCCGATCAGGGATCGAGTATCCCCGACCCCGCAAATTCCCCGACTTACAGTAGCTGGTCAGATTTGTGTTTTTTTTATCTATCAACATATTTTCAAATTAAAAAATCTATAAAAAAAAATAACAATCAGTCCATCTTAACAGATAGAGGTTCACAGATCACAGATAGATGTTCACAGATCATAGATCAATAGTAAACAGATCAATAATAACAAATCACAGATCTTAACAGATATATGTTCATTCCACTGTTTTGTAAATAGATCAATAATCCCACTGTTTTGACATATATATATATATATATAAGTGGAAAAAAAAATAGAGGTCAAATCGAAACAGTAAATATATGTATACACTCAGATATATATATATACATATAAATGTATGTAAAACCCTAGATCGAAATCCCTAGATAGATAGAGAGAGAGAGAGAGAGAGAGAGAGAGAGAGAGAGCCTTTCAAAATTGGTGGTGAGGTGATGGAGGATTGGCGGTGAGGGAGCAGAGAGAGCAGCAGCCCTGTCGGCGGTGAGGAGAGGTGAAGGACGATCGGCGGTGAGAGAAAGAGAGTGGGGGAGACCAAACCCTAAAGGGAGCAGCGGCGACGAGCGAGAGCGAATGAGAAGAGGAGCAACGGCGAGCGAGAGCGCAGAGGAGCAGCGCCGTTGTGTATGTGAGTGAGTGAGAGACTGATGAGCGTGTGTAAATTTTTCAAACCTTAAACAAACACACACACATATATAGCTAGGGACAAAACGGTAATTTCACCTCCGGAATTAAGCAGGCCGGAGTGGGGCCGGGGTCGGGGGGTGGGGCCGGGTCTGAAGCACCTATCCCCGTCCCCGGCCCGGATATCATCGGGGATGAATTTTTGAATACCATCCCCGGCCCGTGGGGGATATTTTTCGGTGAATAACCACTGAATTCGGGGTCGGGAGGTCGGTTCACCGTCGGGCCGGTTTCAAATTGCCATTCCTAGCGGGGTATTGATGCTATTTGGGTGGTCGTGGACCGGTTGACTAAGTCGGCGCACTTTATCCCTATGCACATGAGAGATTCGGTAAATCATCTTGCCGACTTGTATATTCGGGACATAGTGAGGTTGCACAAGGTCCCAGTGTCGATCATCTCTGATAGAGATCCACGTTTTACTGCTAGGTTGTGGCAAAGTTTGCAGAGTGCCTTGGGCACTAGATTGACCTTTAGCACGGCTTATCATCCTCAGACTGACGGGCAATCCGAGCGTACTATTCAAATCCTTGAGGATATGCTTCGAGGTTGTGTCCTTGACTTTAGTGGGTCGTGGGAGAAGCACTTGCCCTTAGTGGAGTTTGCCTACCAGTTTCCAATTGAGTATTGGTATGGCACCGTTTGAGGCCTTGTATGGCCGATCGTGTAGGTCTCCAGTGTGTTGGGCCGAGGTGGGTGATGCACCTTTGTTGGGCCCGGAGTTGGTTCGGGAGACGACGGAGAAAGTTAAGCTTATCTGTAAGAGACTTGTTACAGTCCAGAGTCGCCAAACGAGTTATGCCGATCGTAGGAGGAGGCCTTTGATATTTGAGGTTGGTGATCATGTCTTCTTGAAAATATCACCTAGGCGGGGTTTGATGAGATTTGGGAAGAGTGAGAAGTTGTCCCCTCGGTTTATTGGCCCTTTCGAGATCCTTGAGAGGATTGGCGAGGTTGCCTACCGTTTAGCTTTGCTGCCACAGTTGTCCAGAGTGCATGACGTGTTTCATGTTAGTATGCTTCGGAAATACGAGCCGAATCCATCGCATGTATTGAATTGGACCGACTTAGAGGTAGATGAGAAGGCCTCGTATGAGGAAAGACCGATGTGGGTCTTGGATAGGCGGGATCAAGTCTTGCGAGGCAAGACGATATCCTTGGTAAAAGTTTTGTGGAAACATCACGGGGTTGAGGAAGTCACTTGGGAACGTGAGTTGGATGTCTGTGAGAAATATCTGGACTTGTTTGATAATGTTTAACCATGTATTGAAAGTTTTGTTTTGCTGATAAACTTTAAGAACATCGAATATGTCTTAAGTTGTAAAACATTGTATATGTTTTGGTTTATGGGAGTATTGTAATGGTTGGTTATGCCTTGAAAATGGAAGATAATTTAGCATTGTATATGTTGAATGTGTTATAGAAATGCAAATATATTATTAACATTGAATATGTTATGAAATGGTGGAATATGATATTGAAATTTGTTGGGTCTGAAAGAAATGCATGTTGATAATGCATGTTGTAACATATATTGTGAATTCCCTCTTGAAAAGAGATGGGATGACCGGTAATGGGTCAAGTTGTTGAATATTGAATTGTAATATTGTTAGGAATTGAGAAATCATGTTTTTGAAACTTATAACTAATTTTGGGGACGAAATTCTTTAAGGGGGAGAGGTTATAGCGATCCCGGTTTCTCTCCATTGGTTATTGTATTCTGGACTCAGGTTCCGTGGTGCTTGTTTTGTGTATATTTTGTTTTCGTCCTTTAATTCCTTGTATTCGAATTTTGGGATGTATTGGGCAGGTGTGTTATAGGTTGGTAGTGAGTTTAAACCAATAGTTGCTGCCCAGATTTTTGCTTCTTCGCTAGAGCGAGGCTTTTGTAGCTCGAGCGAGCTCTGTGTTTTGGTTCCTTCGCTCAAGCGAGAGTTGAGTGTTGTGTCTGGTGGCTCGA